CCACGGTATCATCCTCCGGCGACCGCGGGCCGCGGGGATGAGGCGAGGTGCCGCCTCGCCGATGAGACACTTGTCACCGCGGTCCGTGCCACTGCCGATGCCGCTGATTCGCGGCGCTCACTCGCATAAGAGCGCTCGCGTGAGAGCACTTGCCGCTTCTGGGAGCGAGCGCGACTCGCTACGCGTACCGCACTACTCTGCCTTGTTGTTTTCCTGTAACCGTTGTTGTCCGAGCGTACACCCCGTATACCGTTCATACATTGTCCGGAGCGAACGTCGCTCCGGCCACGTACCGCTCGCGATTTCAATCCGCCAATTGAATTATATGCGGAGATTGTCTCGCTTGAGACGTTAAAAAGAGTGCGACGATTTTTAAAGATTCGGAGCGATGATTTCGCACGGACGACGATTTCTCAGATATACCTCGTCGTTCGACGTCGCCGCCGCAAAAGGCGCGCCGCCATTTTCCTACCGACAGGCCCGGCCTATTGCAAATTTCTCTTCTACGAACACGCCGAGGGACACGCTCGTGTAATCAAAGAATTTCACCAGTAACTCACGAGAATATCACTGATAATCGTACGTCAACGGACGTAAAATTTGCGAAAACAACGCTTCGCCGTGCATCATTATCGCCGTCGTCGTCGTCGGCGCTTCGCAACTTCGGCGCAATCTCGACACAACTGTCACGCGGATCGCTCGCTAGAGCTCTTCGCGCTGATCGTCCGACAGCGACTCGTGCTACTATTGTCGCTACTGCCGTTGCTCCTAAAGCATGAAACACGTCACTACCTTCCTCAGATTCGTATATAGCTGCTCCATTTTCGCAATTTCATTTTATGGGCGTGTTGAAAATTAAGGTAACGCGAAAATCGAATGAATTTTGATTGAAATAATGACAATAATTATAAAATCTTAAGAAACATCTTCTGTCTATTATATTATAATAGACAAAAATATAATATCTATTTGCTTTGAATTGACAATTCTTCAAAATGTCGCAAAAATTGCACTTCGCGCATAGTTGGAATAATAAATAATTTAAACTAATTAGAAATCTAGATACTCTAAAAACATTGGTAATATTTTATAATTTGTATTTTATATTGAAACGTACGAATAGTATAAAAATGCGTACTTAATTTTTTAATCGATCTGCACTACGATCATTAAAAAATTAAAGATATATCAAGAAAAAAGATATTAGTTATAATTTTAACAAAAATTATTAAACAATCTATTGTTAACGATTTGATTATTAAGTACAAGTTTACACTTTTCTTTTTACAATTTAAATTGCAAAGCACGATAAATTTACTTTTCTATTAGAAAATTTTTATTTTCTAACATAGAAAGTACGAATCTAATTTGCAGATGTAAGTTGTCACATTTAACATTTCATTATATTTTATTTCATCATAAAATGTGCCACGTTAACAGCAGGGATCATCGAAAAATTGATACATTACTGCCAATTTGCGCATGCGCCTTTTTTAAGATACTTTCAGTTTCATTAACATCGAAATTTCGTAATTTATAAAATAAGATAATTTGGCGTTTATTCGTTTATATTCTTGCAAAAAATATTGTTACAAATTAAATATTTCTAAATAAATTCTTCTAATATTTTTAATTTGTTGTACATAAATTGTTTAGAAAATATAAAGCATAAATGGAAAAAAATATGTAGAAAACAAATTTGTCTCTTAATCCTTCTTTTAATAAAAATTTTTTTCAGCTAGGTGTTTTTTTTAGAAATAATCACATCAAACGACTTTTCTAAAAACATTTATTTATAAACTTTTATGCTATATACTTAGAAACTGTTCACAAAGTATACACTTATGTTAGATGCAATTTACATATGTATAAATGTGAATGTATGTTTAAAACAACATTGGAACTTTAAAAAATCAGTAACATTTGTTAATTATTATAATATGTTTATAAGCTAAAAGAAATAATTCTTTAATAACTTCAAATAGTGTACAATATATTATCGTTACGACACATTTATAGGAAATATAATATTAAAATACTTGATTTATTTCATACATGCATCCGACTTGAAAAAAACATTGAACTTAAATTGATACATAATACTGCAAACAAATATATTTAATAAATTAATGAATGTAAATTCTTTCTAAGCTTTATTCAAAATGCTTTTCACGAATTCACGAAATTTGTATTAATACATTATTTCGTAAAAATAATAGAATAAAATATGATGAAATATATTCGAACTGACACTTCAAAAATGTATTACAAATTTGATTATCACAAAATGCGTTTCTTATAACGTAGTGTATAATAGTAGTGATATGGAAATGAAAAGCTGGAACAGATAGTATATATTGATTGCACAAAGAATTTAAAGCATATCGAACAAACAAGATAAGGCAAGATATTAATATAACTATTTATGTAAAAGAGCTTGCAATAATTATATAATGTAAATATAATAAATACAAGTCTAACTTGTAACGATGATAATAATAAAGAAAATGTCTCTTTATTATATGTATTTTTATGTCTAAATACGTGTTGGAATAATATGTATGGAATATATTTTTATTATAGTTAAAATTAAAATAACATTAAAATTATTAAAATAATCATCCGTCATAGCACTTTAAATTCATCTTCATTTGATTGCGATTTGATATTGCACACATATTCTTTATTTGATAATTAATTGTGTTGAAATTAATATTTAGTATATCTAGATAGATAATTATGGTTATAAATAATTACGGATAAGAATTCAAGAGATTTCATAGTATTTCTTTTTATAGGCGATAATGCAGTCAACTATAATAAAATTGGAAATCAATTACGATATTTTAGCTAATTTTAACACTACCTCCGAAACATTATAAACGCGACGGAACTCTTTGACTGTTACCAAGGATGCAATTGCAATTTCTTTATAAATAAATTAAAACTTATTTTTAAAAAATTAACAGAGGAAGATCTTAACTAAGGAAAATATGATTCTATCGTATCTGCGATAAAAATATTGCTTTAATTACGTGCGTCGAAGCTCGTTATTAAAATGATGTGAAGATCAATTATAACAATTTATGAGAGTTGCAATTTATTTCTATTTTAAAATTATTCAGTGACGCATATCCAATTGTTTTACGTTACTATTTAATACATTCGTTCGTCATTAATTGTTACCAAACAATTTGCTTGCTTTATATTTTTTCCTTTTAAAGGATTACTAGGAAGATACTATAAAATCTATCAAAATTTCACACTCATATTAATAACATATATGATAAAAGAAGTTAAAACTTATATAATTTTATATTTGATACATAACTATATGAAAAATATGTAATATGTTTTCTTCATATAATCTTTTAAATATCCTAAGAGAGAATTAAGCATGACATAATATTTAAAATTTAAATATGACGTCATAAAAAGATTTAGCTTTTCTTGGAAAGAACTTAATTTTATTTATAAAATTAAATTAAATTATAATAAACAAGTACCTCAAATATACAAAACATTTTTGCAGTGCCTTCTAATTGTTAAAATATATTTCTGAAAAGACTTACTCCATGCCATAATATTCTACTTTTTTCTAAATTCTTCAATTATAGAAAGTAGTATAAGAGATTAAATTTTAAAATATAATAAACGTCGTACATGTAAAACTGAATATTATTTGAATCACGATGCACAGTCTATATCGATACGTCATTAGGAGACAAACGTATCTATTCATTAAAAATTAAAATAGTGAAATTCAATAGCTACGTTCCACAAATGCAACTATGTGTTTGGATTAACTAAAATTATTGCAATAATTGTTGTCATTTTTTTATTAAATTAGAAGTATTGCTTGGTCCGTTTTTTTTTAAATTTGTGTCTGGCTACCCCATGCTCTAGAAATTCCTGATCTTGTGCGTTTTTTACCGATAGTCTGAACAATAAAACCGATCCTTTGCAATCGATCAAAATTCAAAATATTCCTTCCGTCGAAAATATAGGCTGGCTTCATCATATCTGCATAAATTTGCGTGTAATCTAATTCCTAAAAATGAAATATTTATTAATTCTTTCTTTATATTGATATATATTACACATATATATGTGTGTATATGTATAATATTAAACATATAATTGCATAGAAAAATTAGACAGTATTAAGGATAAAGCTATTTTTTATCCTTATCCAAATAACACTCTCTTTTCTTACTTACGATAAATTCATCCCATTCGGTACATAAAACTATAGCGTGAGTATTCTTCGTGGCGCTATAAGCATCTTTATAAATACTGATTCTACTTTTTACATTTTTAGGATCGCTCGTTATGCTTGGATGAGTCAAGTCCTGAATAATCTGAGTTTCCTCAACCTGTGAAGTAAACAAATTGTACAAGAACTGTACCTTCAGTCTATTACTGAATTTTTATTAAAATGCTTTTTATCTGATCTAAGAACAACAATATAAAAAGTACAGGATACAAAGTTTATTGAATGAGGCATGATTCCTTTATAATATAATTTTAATGCAAAACAATTATATTTGCGTATTTTTTATTAACTATCAACTCTCTGATAAATTCTCTACATCAACTTTTTCAAAAATTTAAATTGCAATTTTTCTATTGTAATGTTGAACACAGGAAATTTAATATTTCTGTAAAGTATATATAAAAAATATAATTACATATTAAATTAAAAAAATTTTTTTTAATTTATATTAAATTACATATTTTAATAAAGTATAATTTTTTAATTTAAAATAAGTTCTTTGAAAAAAAAAGATCTTTAAAATTTAATTAATATCAAAATTAATAAAATACAAAACATAAAAAATTAATAAATACAATTTATGACGAACTGTAATGAAATTTAAAGAATCTGTTATTAAAAATAAGTCTGATAGGTCTTCACTTCTTCTATTATAGAAAAGAGAAAGAGCTAACCTTGGGATCGTAAATGTGAAGAACGGCGCCTTCATCTAACAACGTCTTGGCGACATGAATTGCTGGTGATTCACGCGTATCTCCTGTATCTTTCTTGAAGGCAAAACCCAGCATAGCGATCCTCTTGTCTGTCACGGTGTTAAAAAGAGATTCTATGACCTTTGCGGAAAATCTGGATTTCTGATATTCGTTCATATCAATCACCTGTTGCCAATATGCCGCTACCTCGGGCAAATTTAAACACTCGCAAATATATACTAAATTTAGAATGTCTTTTTGGAAACATGACCCGCCGAAACCGACCGACGCGCTAAGGAACTTGGAACCGATTCGAGAATCAAGTCCGATTGCTCGAGCGACCTCGGACACGTCGGCACCTGTAGCTTCGCACACTGCTGACAAAGAATTAATACTAGAGATACGCTGAGCGAGGAAAGCGTTCGCAGCCTAAAATCAAATGAATATAAATGGATATTAAAATTTATTGTTGTACTTGACATTATTCAAATTGAATTTTATTCGTAAGTTATAATATATATACTATTCACATATTTATATACAGAAGTATGCCTAACATAGCACGTATGGCGGCCGAAATGGAAATTCATTGTGAGTCAATACTTGAACATACAAATACAGATGAAATCATAGTCTCCTGAATGTCTGACAACATCATTAAAATTATTTTTCTCCATTGTTCATTTTTATTAGCAAATATCGCTTTGATAAAAAGATTTAGAATTGCTACTTTCGTTGTATTAAACTTAAGTCACATAATGTGTAATTTATTTACACTTATAAATAGTACGTTATAATACAATGTAATGAGATTTACACAGTTTATTTACATAGCGGCACTGCTATTACTATAAGAATGTGAAATGTGTCATTACTCACCAGTTTTGACAGTTCTGAACTCCATGTGTTAGTCGTTAAAATTTTTTCTCTTGGAATCCAATGTTCATAAATTTGACATAATTCCTCGATAGCCGCCTGCCCTTCTGGCGAATTTTCTCCGCCAATCAGTACTCGATCCGCGTTTACTAGATCTTCTATAGCAGTTCCTTCGGCT